GGTCAACACACATGCAACAATGATGATGGTGACCACACATGCAGCAATGATAATTGTCAACACACATGCAGCAATGATGATTGTCAACACACATGCAGCAATGATTATGGTTAACACACATGCAGCAATGATTATGGTCAACACACATGTAGCAAAGATGATGGTCAACACATGCAAAAGTTATGATGGTGAACACATGCAGCAATGGTGATGGTCAACACACATGCAGAAATGATGATGGTCTACCGACCTACACCAATGATGATGGTCAAACACATACAACAATGATGGTGGTCTCCTGGCATGCAGCAATGCTGATGGTCAACACACATGCAGCACTGATGATGGTCAACAAACATGCAGCAATGATAATTGTCAACACACATGCAGCAATGATGATGGTCAACACACATGCAGCACTGATGATGGTCAACACACATGCAGCACTGATGATGGTCAACACACATGCAGCAATGATGATGGTCAACACACATGCAGCAATGATGATGGTCAACACACATGCAGCAATGATGATGGTCAACACACATGCAGCAATGATGATGGTCAACACACATTCAGCAATGATGATGTCAACACACATGCGGCAATGATGATGGTCAACACACATGCAGCAATGATGATGGTCAACACACATGCAGCAATGATGATGGTCAACACACATGCAGCAATGATGATGGTCAACACACATTCAGCAATGATGATGTCAACACACATGCAGCAATGATGATGGTCAACACACATGCAGCAATGATGATGGTCAACACACATGCAGCAATGATGATGGTCAACACACATTCAGCAATGATGATGTCAACGCACATACAGCAATGATGATGGTCAACACACATGCAGCACTGATGATGGTCAACATACATGCAGTACTGATGATGGTCAACACACATGCAGTACTGATGATGGTCAACACACATGCAGCAATGATGATGGTCAACATACATGCAGCAATGATGATGTCAACACACATGCAGCAATGATGATGGTCAACATACATCCAGCAATGATGATGTCACACACATGCAGTAGTGATGATAGTCAACACATGTGCAGTAGTGATGATGGTCAACATACATGCAGTAATGATGATGGTCAACATACATGCAGCAATGATGATGGTCACACACATGAAGCAATGATGATGGTCAACACACATGCA